CCCCCCCCCCGCCCCCCGCCGCTCTCTTCCCCGACTCCCCCCCTCGCCTGCCGCCGCCACTCTTCTTCCTCTGCATAAATTCACGTTTCATTTAATATATTATTATTTAATATATTTAATAATAATATTTATTTAATATATTTAATATTATTATTTATTCAATTTATTATTAATTTAAATATTATTTCATGTTTTCAAAAATTAAACCACCAAACGCAGTTTCAGTTTTTTTTAAAACTGAAATCAATCTCTGAATAAAACTACCAAACGCATTTCAGAAATAATTTCAAAATGAAAATGAAAACGTTTTCATTTTCTATTTTCATACAGAAAATAAAATCATTTTGGAAACAATTCCAAACGCACCCGTGGATTTTGCTTGTTGGATTAATATTATTGTTGCTTGAGAAAGAATAATAATTGCTTTAGAGAAATTGCTATCAGTATAGGATTGAATGTTAATTTTCTTGAATTATGAAAATTTGAACAGGATTAATTTTGATGAAATCGGAAACCCTAGAGTCTTAATTTATTGAATTTTATTCCACTGCTCAGCATTGTTTAATTTATTTAATTGTTTTAGTTTTACTTTACTTAATTTTATAAACTCTCTTTTCGATTATTCAAATAAAATTAGGGTTAATATAATTTTGGTAATTAGTAAACAATAATTCTCGTGGGACGATATTCTTATTCACTATTATATTACTTGATTACGATAACATATACTTGCGTTACGATTTTTCACAACAATAAGTCAGGCATTTCTATGTGGTGTAGTTTGAGGAGTAGAGGCTTTGGCATTTGTTGATTTGTCAAGTGCCTCTTGTAACTTAGCAACAATTTGCTCCATGGATGGACGTTGTCTCTTGAGTGCTGTGCATGAAAGAGCCAGCTCAAGTATAAGACCAAAAGCTTCTGTTGAGTACTCTCCTTCCAGTTTAGGATCAGCAAACTCAGTAATGTTACCACCTTTGGTTATAACTTTTGCCTAGCAAGAAGAAATAATATGTATGTAATAAGTTACTTATTTGTAAAACCAAAGGGTGAAAAAAATCATTTTGGGTTGTGATAGAATTATAAAGAGTGAATTATTTCCCACCATTTTGTTTAATGGCATTGGTCTTTGCATATTCATATTGATAACCTTCTTGCCTGAGATGATCTGCAGAAGTACAACACCAAAGCTGTACACATCTCCTGACGATTTTACGCGGCGGTTGCTTCGGTAATCAGGATCGACGTAGCCGAAAGTTCCTCTCACTTCTGAACTGGCATAGGTTTCACCCAGGTCAATAACCTTGGACAATCCGAAGTCGGATAACTTGGCTTGGAAATTCTCACCCAGAAGAATGTTTGTTGGCTGCAAATACAATAGGTCAATTTAGTAGTTACTTTTAGTAAATGCAACAAAGCACAATTTGAAGGTCATTATAAAAATTAAAAATTGTTGTTAAGGTGAATTTAAACACAATTAGCCTTGATTTTAGAATATGCAAGGCCATTAGTAAGCTGAAGTTGATTTATCAAAACAGAATTCTCCCTTTTTAGAAAAAGTAAGCTGTTATAGAAATGAAGAACTTGGACAATCCAAACCTTGATATCGCGGTGGACAATGCAGCCTTCTGAATATGTGTGAAGAAACCGTAAGGCTCGGGCGCTATCGACTGCAATCTCAAGCCTTTGGATCCAGGAAAGGACTTTATCTTTACCTGTTGTGCACAATTCCACGTACATTAGTTGCAAACATTAAGGAATTAAGTCACAAGAAAGAAACTTTGCATAAGGACTCGGAATACCAAAAAGCCATTCTGAGAGGTTTCCATTTGGACAAAGCTCATAGACAAGGAAACAATCATCTTCCCTAAAACAATAACCCAACAAAGAAACAAGGTTTGGGTGTCTGATGCGTGACAAGCTTGTAACTTCTCTGACAAATGTCTCGATGTCTTCATCGTCAACGATGTGCTTAATTGCCACAGGCTGCTTATTTGACAGCATCCCTTTATAGACTTTTCCTGTCATTGCAACAACGTTAAATGTTTAGACAGATTCGATTGAAGGGGTTCCAATTACACTCTCCTTTGTGCATAAAGTTTTCACCTGCATTTCCTTCGCCGATTAAATTCGTTTCGCTTAAATTGTTCGTTGCAGAATACACTTCCTTAATTGGAACTTTTGGGCAGCCAGGCTCCTTAGTAAGCACATCCTTAAATGCTATCATGTAAATACCACAACAAATAATAAGTATGTATCATCTTCATGACATAGCTATGAAATTTTGTTCTGATTTGGCTTCGAAATACTTTAGAGCATACCATCAGTTTTTGTTAGGCCCGTTGATCTGATACATCTTCTATACAAAAGCCATGCAGAAATCAATACAATTACTGCAACCCCTATGAGTCCTCCTATTAGAATCAACACACCTAAAATCCACAAATACTCCTTGTTTTGAGAATTTTTTTTTATATATAATATACGCCAATAAAGCGTATTGAGTGATTGAATGAAAGATTGCAGAATCACCTTTGCTAATGTTAGTCTTCCTACTATGCTTCAACTCTTCATTTCCTGTAATGGGCAAACATAAAGTACAAAAACAAGATTAAGTTGCACAACATAACATTTGGTTGAATTTAATAGAAGGAATGTGAAAATTTTTCACTAGGAAACATACCAGACTTGATTATATGTTCCCCAAGGCATCTAGAAAAGAGGCTGAAATATCTTGTATCATCAATCCTGCTACTAGTAAATGACACCATCACAGCGAACCTGCAGATATCGTTTTCGATCTTCGAAGATGATGAATGTATTCCTTTAATGTCTTCCCAACCCTCCGCACAAGAATCACAAGCTTTCTCCCATGTTCCCACAGAACTCTGAAGTTCACACTTTTCATTCAAACTTCTCAGTTCATCTCCGAATTTATCGGTAACATCAGCAACAGAGAAGTCAGAGCAGCCACCAATACCACTGACCAGCTTCTCAATCCCACAACCAGAAATATTTCCATGAAACTTGGCCAGTGAGACTAAACAGCTGCTCTGCTCAGTAGAGTTCAAAAACACCTTTCCTGTTCGGTTCGCCCTCTGGCCTAACGCATAGAGGTACTCATCAAATGCTGCTCCACAGCAGCTTTTCTGTAAAAACCCTCCCCAATCTCCTCCTTCACAGTTTGAACTAAACAAAGTTGTTGAGAGGTTAAAACTGAGGCTGCAGCCACCTGAATAAGGCTTTGAAACTGCGAATTCAACGGCGAATATCAAGAGGAAGAAGAAGAGGATAAAAGTGAGTTTTGTTACATGCTTAGTCATATCCAATTTGTGACAATTCAATGTTAGCATGTCCATGGCATAGTGTTAATATGAAGAACGATAAATGATCCAAAGTGAAACTGCCTATATGTGTAATAACATGTTAATATAAATTTTTCACGATCAAAGAAAAATTTTTGTTACACAAACATAGAGAAAAATGTGTGGCTATATGGTGTTCATAAAGTTTGGAAATCTTTAGGTGTGGAAGTATATGTAACGCGGATGATTAAATGATTTTGTTAATAGCACTTTTTGAAATTCCAAAGAAAAGTCCCTAATCTCGCTTTTGTTTGCATGTGACAAATGATTGGAAAAGTTTGGATGGATCGTCAAAAAATGAAGTTATGGATAAATTCAACATCTTCCTTTTAATTTTAATAAATAATTTATTGTTTGCCGGCCCATGCAAGCTCAATCTTGTAAATATTCTATGCTTTACCGAAAAAATGTCATTGTAAGCAATCTGTCATTCCATGTTTCTGGCTCTTTGTGCCAACAAATTTGTTTCATGCCAGTTTTATGATGTATATTATAAATCAAAAGCTAGTATTACATTAATTCTTAACCGGCAGAAATTTTTAACTATTAACGACATGTCGTTTATTTTATTTCTTTCATGCCAGTTTTATGATGTATATTATAAATATATATGGATGTAAAGAGAGTATTATGTAATTGGGACGGGGAATGAGAGCAGAAGAGCTTACCCCACCCCGTTCCGTCCCCAGTTTGAGGCAGCAATCTTCTTAACTTTTACTGTTAATGACCTGTATTTTTGTATGCGCGACAGAAAACCCTTTAAAAATGGATTATTTATTGTTTGCCAACAAAACGACATGTTGAGCAAATTTATAAACGACATGTCATTGTCGATACATATTTCTTAAGATATAGGAGAATTAAAGCCCTCCGTTGTCGTCTAAATTTATCAGTTTTTTCTTTTTTTAAGATACCATGCGGAGAACGTGAGTTTTGGTTAAAAAATGGTTATCTGTTTTGGTTAAAAAATGGTTATCGGCTTTGAGAGAGACGACTTTTAATGTGAGTTGGCATTTTAATAAAATAAAATTATTTGACAAGTGACGTCAGAATCACCACGTTCTTGCAGATTTTCAAAATAAATTTATTGTCGGCTCCACGCAAGTAATTAGACATATAACGTAAATTTCTATGGCCTGTTACGATATTTTAGTCACGTTAAAATATAGTCAAAAGTCTTAAAATATTTTAAACAATAAAAATAAAATACTATAATAGTTGTTTTAGCATAAAACGTGAAAATTATTATAATTATTATGCAATTATGTTATATTTAAAATATATCAAAAAGATGTTATAAGCATGTAATTAGAAACGGATTGTTAAGAGTATTTTCAACTCAATTTCAAATTAGTTTGTCAATATCAAGTTTTAGTATTTGAGGATTAAAATCACTTTTTCATGTGGTGTTGTTTTCATACCACACTTGATGGAAAACAAAAAAGAAAAAAAGAAAAACTGATATGTAGTCGCTAACATCCATAAACTTTAAAACGAACTAAAAGTTACTGATCTTCTTAATGAGGATAGTTTGCTACAAGTTTGTGAATTCAATATACAAATTATCAAAATTAAAAATTTAGGGAGATAACCGTGCAATAAGTTTGGAGGAAACAATGTAAAAACAAACAAACAAACAAACTTCGTAAAATTGTCCTCATCGGTCACCAAAAAATTTAATCGAACTAAAAAATGGAAAGAAAGCATAACTTGGATGATATAGAATTGAAAAACGACATTTAATTTAAAAAACCAAATTGACATGAGGATCGATAAACGACAACAGCCATGAGAAATCACACAAAGCCTTAAAAAAAAAAAAAGAAACAATGATAGAAGAAGAAAAAGAATGAACAAACATAATTAAACATGGAAAACGACAAGAATAGGGAGAATGAAAATTGACATGAGGATCGATAAACGACAACAGCCATGAGAAATCACACAAAGCATTAAAAAAAAAAAAGAAACAATGATAGAAGAAGAAAAATAATGAACAAACATAATTAAACATGGAAAACGACAAGAATAGGGAGAATGAAAAAGGATAGACATCTTGAAAACGACGACTAACTAGAAAGAGATCTGGAGATTAAAAAGTAGGAAGAAACGAAAAAGGGGAAAAACCTGGGAAAATTTACAACACCAAACCGAAGGCAATTTTTATAATTAATGTGTTTTAATTGATAAATTAATTTTTCATGATCCATTGACACTAATGTTAAAAATTTAAGACATATAAAAATAAAATAACACTGTTTTAAGTGGTATAACAGACCGTTAAAAAATGTAAAATTAAATATAACAGTTAAAGCAACAAAACTTACCCAATAAAAAATCCTTTCCCCACCATAAATATTGCCCAAGCCGAATGGCATCAAACAAACAATCTGAAAGAAGTGGAAAAAATACACCACCAAACCAATGCATGAACACTAGTTTTAACAGCATCATTACACATGCAAGTAGAACTGCTTGATTTCTGTATATTTTAGAAAATACAGCTGCTTAATTTCTATAAAACAAATAATAAATAATAAAAAAAAAACCCAACTGCTTAATCTAACATAATTAATAATTACTCGCATGATCTACTCCTTTGCATGCTTCCTCGATCAGCTTCTCCAAAGTCTTCCAAGAGGACCCACCTTCTCCGACGGCCTTCCTCGCCATTTCTGCAACTTCTTTCACCTTCTTCCTCACCTCCCTCCCCATCTCTCCCTCCATTAACTCCTTCACCTTCTTCTTCAACTCTTCCCACTTCACAAATGATTTTCCATCGCAGTTCGTTTCTTCTTCTACTCTAATCCCCACCTTCAACTCCTCCACCACCATTTTGGCATTCAGCGGCTGCTCCGCCATCATCGGCCACGCCAGAATCGGCACCGCCGCGCACACGCTCTCCAACACCGAGTTCCAACCGCAGTGGCTCAAAAAGCCTTTTACTTTCTCGTGCATTAATATCTCTCTCTGCTCAACCCACTCTCTCACCACAATTCCCCTCTCTCTCACCCTCTCTTCGAACCCATCTGGCAACTCAATATCTCTCTGCTCTTTCTTCCTCACCACCCACACAAAACTCACTTTCGATTCTTCCAAACCTTTCGCGATTTCTTTCATCTGTTGGGGGGAAATCTCCGCTTGAGTCCCAAACGCGACGTAAAGAACCGAACTTTTTTGATCTAGCCATTGATAAATCCATGGATGATGATTTACATGATTTTCTTGTGATAAATTCGGTTCGGCGAGTAACAGAGGCCCAATACACCACGCCTTGCAGTGATACTCTTTGTTGAAAAGGTCAACGAAATCTTTCTCCATCTCGTAGAAGCTGTTGACCAAAATCCCGAAGCTTCTAGAAGTTGCTTCGGCCGCTTTGGTGACGAAATCGAAATTGCTGCGATCCGGCGCCGTGTCGAAGTCTTTTTTCCTGATCTTGATCCGAGGAAAAGGAGGAATGGTGATTGAATCTTCCACTTCATCGTCGTCGTTGCAATTTCCGTGGAGGAGCCCGTAGCGGATTGCGAGTCTGGTGAGAAGCAAGGAGTAAGTGGGCATGCCGTAGGAGACGAAGCGTGGGACGCCAAGCTTGGCGGCGGAGTCGAGGGTCCACCAGAGGAAGCCGTCGGAGACTATGAAGCTGACATGTGGAAGGAGATTCCGGAGGGCGATATCGAAGTGAGGTTTCAGGAGCTCGGTGGATCGAGCGAAGGAGTGGAAGAGGGACATGCAGGGGAGTTGGTCGGTGCTCTCGACGCCGGCGGGGATGCCGGGGAGTTTTTCCGGGAAAGGGAGGGAGACGATGGTGGCGGAGGTGTCGGAGAGAAAGTCGGCGATGAAGGGGCGGTTGGCGGAGGTGGTGAAGAAGGTGACCGAAATGCGGCGGCGGAGGAGGAGGCGGGCTAGATGGAGGAGTGGGATTGTGTGGCCTTTTGACATGAAGGGGAAGATAACGACATGTCGTTTTGGGGGTGATGGATCAGTTTTGGGCTCGATAGCCGATTCCATCGTTCTGTTCTTTCTAGATCCCAATCAGCCTCTTATCTTGAACCAAACCACTGTCTAGGGAAGCCATTAATAGAGGGAAAATGCTTGTCACGTGACATACACAGGGCATCACAGGACCCACTTTCTGTTACTTATCAATAGTATCCTTTAGGCCCCGTTTGGTTCTAGTTGGAAAGATGGAGAGTAAGAAGGATGGAAAGAGTTAGATAAAAGAGAGTAAGAAGAATGAATAATATTATAGCAATCCTTCGTATTATTTGATAAAATAAAGGAGGTGTTAAAAGAATAGATGACAATTCCTTATTAAATTACTATATTATAATTTAATCAAATGGTAAAATAGTCTTTTAAAGTTAAAAGTGGATGAATTGTTTGAGGACTTGTTTAGTTCGTTAATTCGAATTTTTAATTTGAGTTGAGATGTGACTTTATGTGAAAACTTTTTACTGTAACAAAAAAGTTAGATGTGACTGTTTCTGAGAGCTTTTTACTGTAGTAAAACTCGAATAGGTGAAATGAACGGGGCATAAATTTTTCCATTAATACAAGGATTCAATTTGGTGAGTCATAAGGGAAAGGATACCCCTCCATCTCTCCTCTTTCTTCTCTCTCTCCAATCAAATAAGAGATTAAGGCCGTGTTTAGAATTAATCCCGTTTTTATTTTTTTACGTTTTTCGAGAAAAAATGAAAAACGTTTTTAAAACGGCGTTTGGCGCAATAAAAATAAAAAATAAAAATAAAAAATGATTTTTTGGTTTAGTGTAAAATGAGAGAAATGAAAAACGTCATTTTTCATTTTTTATTTTCGTTTTCTCATCTCTCGAGCAGAGATAAGGAGAGAGAGACATTAATGAGTTTTTTTATACTGAAAACAATCTCTTGATAAAATTACCAAACGTATTTTTAAAAATAATTTCTGTCTCAGATTGAAAACGTTTTCATTTTCATTTTCATACAAAAAATAAAATCATTTTGAAACGAATTCCAAACGCACTCTAAGGGGTTGTTCTTTTGGAGTGTAATTTTGAGTTGAATTTAAGTTATAACTTGAGTTAAAGTTGTAACTTGAATAAAGTTGAATAAAGTTAAATAAAGTTGAAACTAAAAAGAACATAAACTTAAATAAAGTTAGAACTCGAATTATCTTTTTTTTAATTTTTTAGACAAAAAAACAACCCTTAAATCTCTCTCTCTCTCCTTTCATCCCTTCATCATCCTATCAAGCATACTCTTGTGTACTGCCACTCTCACTTTTTATTAATTGTGATGGTTGAGTTAATTTTGTTTTTAAGTATTTTTTTAGCAAGCTAATAAAAAAAGTCAAAAAGGCTCAGCATTATATAACACCACACGTTAAGATAAAATTTGCAAATACGAATATATGATCAACTTTCTAGTAGTTGTAGTATTAATCTTACGGGTGACAATCATTTTTCTAAAACTCAAGTGCTAATTCTAGTTGTAAATTTTGCTATTCACGTGATGAACTAAATCAGTCATGCATATGTCACTTTGTTTTTTTTTTTTTTTACTTATGAATTGGGCTTATCGAGGCAAGAGCATAAAGAAACTCCTTTTTAATAATGTTTTTTTCCTAAAGAAATTATGAGACCGTTTGGTTAGAAAATTTATTCTATGATTCGAATCATAGTTCATGATTTGTTATAATATTTTCTCTCATAAATAGCACACGTAAATTAAAAATAATTTTAATCTCATGATTTTAATTCATGAACCAAACAGGCTCTAACTTGTAAAAAGAAAATTTTGGAAACCGTGCCATATTTATGCAAATTTTGTTGTCAGCTGCTTTTAAAATTCTTTGGTTTTGTTAATTTCATTACTCAAATTATAATTCAAATTACATTATCATTGTATTTTTTTATAAAAAATTAAATTTAATTTTTTGTTATAATATTTTTTTCTCATAAATAATAACTCGAGTTATGATTTGAGTTATCAAATGAATATTCTTTTTATATTTAAATTTCTGTTAAAAAAACAAATAAAAATCACATGAGCTCGTTTAGTTCGCTAATTCGAGTTTTTAATTCGAGTTGAGATGTAACTTTGTGTGAGAACTTTTTACTGTAGCAAAAAAGTTAGATGTGACTATTTTTAAGAGTTTTTTACTGTAATAAAACTCGAATTCTAAACACAAATCGGTGAAATGAACGGGGTCAAGTCGTTTTCCATATGATTTTCTTTAGTTTTATTAATTTCATTATTCAAGTCATATCACTACAGTATTTATTCTCATAAAAATTTAAATTTAACTTTTTTTCTATAGTGTTTTTTCTCACAAGTCATAACTTAAGTTATGACTTGAGTTGTCAAATGTACATTCCCTTTATATTTGGATTTCTGTTGAAAAGAAATTGACAAAAACCATATGACCACACTTAATCTTCTATTTTTTCGTTTGATTTTAACAGAAATTATAACAAAATGAGTTAAATGAGAACAATTTAAAATTCAGTAAATAAAGTAAGAATTTTTAAAATTTAATTGACAAACTTACCAATATAATGCTAATACCAATAATATATTTAACATTACTTTTTTTTATCTCCAATGTAATGACCCCACTAAGCGTTGAAAGTTAACAGGACCACACTATTTCTTTTTTCCGTTTCCAATATAATGCTAATGTTAATAGTATATTTAATATTAAAAAGTATTATATGTGTTATTTTTATTTTTTCTTCAATGCATAATGCTATTTAAAATGTTAAATCTACTTTTTTACATAATCATTAAGGCGACGTTTAGTTCATGGGTTCAAAACCATAGTTCATGATTCTAATTTTTAAAATTTAAATTTTTTATGAGAGAAAAACAATATAGTAAACTAAGAACTATGATTCAGAATTAGATCAGAACCTTCAAAACAAACGAAACATAAGCTTTAAAAGTTGTAAAAGTAAACTTATATTTAAAAATAATTAAAAAATGTAAAAGTTACAATGATTTTTAAAAAAAATCAAAAATTTCAATCAATATCAATCAAATGTCAAATTTCTCATGTGGTATACTTGATAGGAAATTTACCACAAAGTATAACCTATGAAAAATTTAGCACAACAAACAATATTATTAGATAATATTTTTATACTAAAATACTAAATTTACAATTAATACATTAATTATTGCATTTGAGATACTCTTATAGTCCTTCGTAATTTCTTAGAGTATTGGAATCAACTAATATAATTTAAACTGCACATCTCCAAGGCTAATCTTTCATATGGGCGTGGTCTAGTTCTGTAAAGATTGCAGAACTTTTGATTCAATCACATGGCCATTGGCCAACATGACATGAAAAGCCAAAAAAAAAAAAAAAAAAAAAAAAAAAAAAAAAAAGAGGAAAAAAAAAAAAAAAAAATAAAAATATAAAGCATTACCAAAGTGGTGGTACTTAGCATTTCCAAAAAAAAAAAAAAAAAAAAAAAAAAAAAAAAAAAAAGAGGAAAAAAAAAAAACACATTAAGTAATTATATGCATTACCAAAGTGGTGGTACTTAGCATTTCCAACATCCATTACAGGTTGAATAATCTCTCTCGCACTCCACTTTGGCTCTCCCCTAATTCAACACCAGAAAGTGAATTACCAAATTCTGTAGTTCCCATTGCTTGATTCCTTCTAAACTCAATTGTTATCACTCATTTCGCCACTAAATTGACCAGTACTACCTTCTACTAGTACTACTACTCCCTGGCTCTGTCCCACCTCAATCCTTACTTTCTCAAATGACCACTTCTTTCTGCCGTTTGGCTCTCTCCTATCATCTCAAGGCTCGCATCAGGATCACCGCTCCCCTTGCTCGAATCAGCGCTTGTTCGGCACATCGGGCAAAAGGGTGCCTGCAAAAGCCACGCATCGACGCACTCGGCGTGGAAACTGTGCTTGCAGATTGGCAACAATCTGCACTTCTCCCCAACCTGAAAGCTCTCCAAACAAACCGCACAATCCACAGGACTAGTTGCTGTGTCTTTGGTCATGTAATCAAAGCAAGGAAGCTTTTCCAAGTCGTCTTTAGACATGCTTGTGCTGCCTGTAATATCACTACCGTTGCTCCCTCTCTCCATCGCCACAGAGACGTTGCCGAATCCTCTTCTGAAAGCCCTTCCAACAATACAAACGTGGACGAAGATCAACAACCCAATGCCCACAAACAAGAAAATTATTGATAATATGATGGCCATTACCATGACCTGCCCTGCCACTGTCATAACGCGGTTGTTAACCATACTGATTCTTCACCATTCCTTTCTTGTTTCTCTTATTTAACGACGACCCAGATGATCAAAAACGCATACGAACATAATTGAATTGAAGGCATAGCCAAAGCTTATTTTTCAGCTATAAAATTCTGCAATACCAAATCTGTTGATATGTGGATTTGAAACATTTTGTGCTGGAGTTCAAGAAGATCAGAGGTAGAATATACCATTTAGAAAAAGGTAGGATGGTTTCAATCCTATTAAGACATAGAACCTGATCAGTCAGGACAAGAAGTAGATAACCTATAAACTTCTGATTTGGAAATAAGCAACATGTTTAAAAATATTAACTGTGTATTATTTAAGTGGGCATTGGGTTGCTCTCTATAATGAAGTGGGTAGGCTAAGAATCAAATGACACAAGTCCAGACAAAAATATGATTGTGACATTGTTTTAAACTCATCTTTTTGAACTCTCTCTCTGCCTTCCTGTTGAATGTACTTTTTGTTCTATATATACTAGTTTTTTTTTTTTTTTTTTAATTCTTTTCATTATTGGAATCAGGTGAAATATTAGTAGTTTGATTGTGATCACTCCTTAGTTTTTATCATCCAAAGAAAGGGAACATTATACGATTTGTGCTGCACAATTGTAGAAATTTGAAGTAGCTTTTGATAGTTTGTCACATATAATATTTAGTGAAAAATGAGAAGAAATCTTTGTTCTCCAAGTTGCACAGAAATATTTCAGCACCAAAAATAAAAAAAATAAAAAAAAGAGCTAATTATGCTTTCTAGTATTTACAAGCGATTTCATTCCTTCTGTGCTCCATGGGACGCCTCAGTTAGTTAGCTTATACAGATTTAATTTAATCTAATTTAATCATTTTTTAACTTAATTTAGTATACCTTCCAAGTTTAGATGAAGTCATATATTGGAAAATACTGCTTTTACAAATTTGGACCAGCATGAAGATTTAATTAATATTGCCGGCACCAACCAATTGGAAGAATAATTAACAACTCATTAGAGGAAATACAAACAAACAAGATCCATGGGCATGCTGAGTTGTTGAACTAATTAATAAGATAATATAATTATTATAATGAGACAAAACAAAAAATAGAAAATGGAAGTGAAAGCCTAATCGTAATTAAGCCAAGGATCATAACAGACACTCATATGTGGTTAATTTTGAGTTGGTAAGAAAATAGAATATTATGTTAACAATTCTTATTGGTACTTTTCAACTTTGCTTCTTTCGTCCCCGGGAAAGTAATTTGCTTCTTTCTCCTTCTTGTTGCAACAAATTATTTATTTGCTAATTCCCATCAACGTCATATAATTATGAGATAGGAGTTCAAAAGAAAGGAAAGAAAGAATCAATATTTGTTTTTCTTTCTCCATCTCCACAATTACGTTTCTGTTTTCTTGAAATATATTAGGCTTGGCTGCACTGTTCATATATACTAAATAAATTAAATATCAACACAGTATTATATTACTGCAGACACATCAAAATCACATTTCCTAAACGTAATGCGACATTAATGTGCAATTAGCTTTCATTAATACAAAAAATTGTTTTCGCCTTTCGGATAATAAGTATGATTAAGACCACTAATCAGAAATCAATGTGAACATCTAAACAAAGTCTACAACATATTTCTCGGAAAAAAAATGATGGGATATAATCAAAACTGTCATTGAATGATTAGGACGTCCAAACTCGAATGAAGCCCTTAAGGAAGGATCAATCTTCAATCTTCAATCTTCATTCTGTTGCACCCACCAAGTATGAACACGCATAAACAAGCCTTATAAGCAAATATCAATAAGACAAATCCTTCACCATAAATTAATTAACCCAATAACGAGTAGTTGGAGCATTCTTCTGTCATTTGATGATAAGTGTCACAGTTGTCAAGTTACTTTGGGCAGAGTTGATTAATAAAAACATCAGTCTTCAGAAATGAAATTTCTGTTTGTTCTCTCTTTATTTTATTTTATTTTTGTTCCTTTAAATGCAAATAGCAACAAGTTTAAGATTGAAAGTTTTCTGATCAAATTTGGTGCAAAAGAAGTAAGACAAATGAACCAATAGCTACAATTATCTATCTAATCGTTGGAAGCAAAGCATGGACGTCCATCAGAAAGCGAATCAAAAAAGATAAATGCCATAAATTCTACAATGCTTATCAGTACATTTTACATCCATAATTTGGAGAGAATGTTGAGTAAAAGAATATAGATGAAAAAATATATCATAAATCTCCGGCTCAACTACGTGCTTCAACTGCAGTTGCAACGTTCCAAACATCTCAATGCTCCACGGTATTTACAAAATGAAACGAAGAAAAGAGAAATTGATTGAACAAACCAAAGCAAAGAAGGTAGAGACTATGCTCATATATGTTGTAAACGGGGGAGAAACATACAAAAGGCTTGTCCGTGTTCTATATAATCCCGTGTCAAGAACCAATCACAAGTCCCTCCCTCGAAATATTGGTCACGCGTAAGACGGCTTGCGCACTGAGGGGAGAGAGTTTTGACAGACAGAAGTTCTCCCAAGACCCCATCTCTGGATGCTCAGATACCGCCACTGACGAGAGATCGTAAAATTTCTGATAAACAGTTTGCAGCTCAAGCAGGAGGCTTCGAGCAGCCTCCCTGGATTCAGGAAGCTGGTCACTGAGCTGGGATGCAGCTGTCTGAATTAATTTGTCAATTCCATATGCTTTAATCCCTTCTACACCCTATTAACAAGCCGATGACACGTATAAAAAGAAAAGCAAACTGATAATTGGCATCAAGTAACAAGAAGATTCATAAAATCTAATGGTAACACTATCTTGTTCTTTGAGTGAATATTAATGCATGTTATCGTTTTAAGCCAAGTGCAAAAAGATTCACAGCAGAACTGGGGAGTTTGCAGCACCATATGATCAAAGGACAACTTTTGTCCACAGATGCCAAAGCTTAAAGGAAATTCCCGAAAAACAATTAGACAGGTTAATATCTAAATAAGGTTTATACTAATCTCTCACATTTTCTCCGGCTGCAGAGTACATTATAATGGAGCTAGATTAGCAACCGATTATAAGAATATAATCATGAATGGAATCAAGAATTACACCAAACATCATTGGAAGATAGAGCCCTGTGAAGTTTGAGACGAAGAAGGAGGAGAAGGAGGAGGAGGAGGAGGTCGTCCAGCAAAGAGATTAGCAGATGAAAGAAGTTCGTCCAGCAAAGAGATTAGCAAATGAAAGAAGTTCGTCCAGCAAAGAGATTAGCAAATGAATGCATGTAATGTTGTTTCCTTACCAGTCGTGGAACACTTCGACAGAAGCACATCGATGCCTTTGCCCGAATTCTAGGATTCCTGTTCTTAAGATATGGTTGCAACTTTGGTAACAACAGGATGGGGGAAAGCCAAGTTGTCATTGAGACCAAAGCTTTCTCGGCTGCTTCACAAACAAATCTCTTGTCTTGTGAAGACTTGAGAAGTAGTTGAACTAGCTGCATCCATCACATTTAAACACCATTGAGGAAAAGAAAAGCAGAAAATTAATCGAACATAAGGATAAGAATCTTTGATTTAGAACATGATAACAAAATGTGGCTAAAATTTACAGAATAGTATTTACCAGAGGGTCTAATGATTCAATCATAAGATCATTATAAGCATTGAAAATGTCTGCAGATGTCATGATTGCGGTTTTACAAACTGCACTTCTTGGATTCTTCAGGGACTTCACCACAAGTGAGATAACATCTCCCCTGTTTATCAAAATTAGAGAGATAATCATAAAAGATGAAAGAAGAAATTCAAATGAAACTCTTTTTTACGCAAAATATCCTAAATAAATCTGAACTTACAGCAGTTCAAGCATGGCTTCCTTGTGAAACAGACATAATCGACGTACATTGTTAAGTGCTTCACACACGAGGACCCAATCTTTTGAGTCTAGTCCAGCTAAGAGTGTCTGATAGATGAAAGGAAATGAATATGTCATAACAATACTGAGAGCTATAAATCAGAATTTCTGGGTTTAATCATAAGACAGAATGAATGCTCAAGTTAAGGCCAAGGACCATAAAAAAATAGAAAAGCTCCTGTCCCAGTTCCGAAAGCTAATACCTTAAGACTTGTGTCAACATCTTCTACATCATTCAAGTTCTCTGACTCGATGTACTCTACTTCTAAATTTGCAATCTCTGCTCCAGAATTAACAGTTTCACCGCCATTAACTGAGTTTTTCTTCTGCCCTTCTTCAATATTTCCATTAGTATTGCTAACTACAGACTTAGCAATATTTCCTTTACTGGAGTTTTCATTCCTCCTCTCAGATCCAGGTATGGCATTAAGATCTTTCAGAGCTTTCTCTGACATCACTACCAGCCTCAAAGTCTGAATCAAAAAACAACGCACAGCATGAAAAATCCAAATGTTTAACAACAGAGCAACAAAAAATAAACATAAATTTCACGCTCAGGTTAAACCAACTAAAATGCACCAATTTTATAAGACCAATTATCTCTGACTATAGATCCAACAGTAAATATTATTTTGTGCATGTCGCATGGCTAGCTATATTGATTCCTAGATAGTCTAAAAAGCATACAAGACTATCTTATTCAGTTTCTGCTGCAAATACCAAATATTCGTAAGTAACAACTTAGTTGATGTCTACTTAGCAACTCCACAAAGGTTGCAACTAGATGTAAGCACTAGTTTAACCAGAGTGTCATCCGTCACTATTATAAAGCAGAAGACCAAAGTACATGTGCAGTAGCTGCAAGTGGTTTGCACGTATTTCTCTTTTTTCTGAACTGCTAGTTCCCTCAGAACACCCTCTCCACTTGATACAATTACATCAAGAAAAAACCATATCCGTAATCTCTATTGTTCCATCTTATGCATAAAATAGCTGACATTGACTTCCTAACATTTATTATCGTTTCCTGCTTTTTCTTCCTTCCACTCGATATGGCCTCCTCGAACTTTTAGTAAAAGGACAATACATTTATACCCCAAAACCAAAATATCACAAACAGATTCCACCACTTACATTCTAAAATGTTTCACAAGGCATTACATCCACACATATCCCGTAGCCTTCTTAGCCAAAGGAAAATAAAATACATAAGAAAGGTCCCCACATACCTTCTACATATAATTACAACCCTTTCCTACTTAAAATTAAGAGCTCCAACTCAAAATGCTCTGGAGAATCACAACACCCAGAACCTATTACCCAATGAACTACGCGATACACATATCAGATATTCATAATAGTGACAATGTGGGTTTATAATCGGCATATTGCACATGAAGCACCGGAATGCTTTGGTGAACATCAAATAACATGCCCATTTTTAAATCATCGAAACAACAAAGTGCCACATACTAATGCTGTAAATGGAATACAATCTTTTGATCTTTTCTCTCTTCCTCAAAAACCCAGTACGAAAAAATCCCTAAAATCGGAAGGAAAACAAAAAAAAAATGATAAAAATAGAAAATTTGTCCTACCTACCTACCTTATAGCTAAAATGGAGCAAGCAAGAACATCACACAAACAAAACAAATCAGCAAACTGAAACCAAGAAAGATCTAGCGGTTCAAGAAGTGAAAATCAGACCGAAGAATGAATAAATTAAAGAAACAAAGAAACAAAAGAAGAGAGGCATATTGCAAGAGAATGAAGCAAATTGCAGGATCTTGCCCTACACTGTGTACGGATCGTCATCATTTTCAAAAAAAAAAAAAAATTCACACCTTTGAATCCAGTTCCACAATTTCAAGAACAGATTTGAACTTCAGCCAAAAAAAAATAACAGTACTAGCGAAATTATATACACACATACATATATATATATATAGAGAGAGAGAGAAAGTACCAGAGAGAAGCGAAGAGAAGTAGTGTCGGCAAAAAGAGCGAGGGAAAATCACGATCAACAGCGAAGCTTTGCTCTGATTCTGATTTATATATAAAACAAGAATAAAAATTAATTTTTTTTTTTTTAAATAATACTTCACTGTCTGTGGGAAATGAACGGACTCGTTCTGACCTATATATACGAGAAACAAAAGTCCGTAACCGGCGAGACTGGTTTTACTCAACATTATACGACGCCGTTTTATTACTTCTTCCATTATATTATTTATATTTAATGTATTTAATAATATGGGTAAGACTAAAATCCGCCCTGAGCCGGCAGGTACCGGATAATTGCATTGCATGTGATCGTCATCCTCCCTTTACAAATGGGCATTTAATTTTGTCATAGATTTCGCTTCCTAACTGCCCATGGATTTGCCTTTATTACCCAAAATACCACTGACTTTGACTCGTCAAATTTCTCTCTCTCTCTCTTTTTTTTTTTTTTTTCCCTGTTCGGAAATTCTCGAAAATGGTAGAATAAATAAAAGGGAAAATGTCTCGGATATCGAAGGCTCCTCTGACGCTCCAACACAAGAAAATGAAACTCAACTATCTTTCCCTCTCATCTCTCTCTCTCTCTCTTAATTTGATGACGTATTTTTGGAAACGAAATGATGCCCTGTCAATTTGCTTACAATTAGAATGCTTGATTAAGGATGGATTAAGGGTGGATTAGTTGTGGTCAAAGACTTTTTAGAATTAGAAGTGGAGTGTAAAAATCAAGCACAGCTGTCCGAATTGATTGAAGAATTTTTTTTTTAAATCTTTGGTGAGCGTACCAAAAAAAAATTTATTTCTGCAGTATGATCTTCTACCGATAATGTACCATAAACAGTTTCGAATAAAAAATCTAACGGTTTAAAAATAAAAACATATCGTTAATGCTAGATTTTAATGATCTCAACATAATTTAAACAATATTAAAAAAATAATAATATAGTTATAAATCTGAAAATATCATAAAATTTATTTGAAATTTAGGCGTACATTAAAGTGGATAAAGAAAGATTACCTCTTCTAATAGACAGCAAAAAACGTCATCTACGGTCGCCAAAATCCATTAATGGGCGGCCAAAATCAATGAAGAACTTGCAAACATGAGGAAGAATGGCAAGAGGTGCTCTTAAGCTCCTCCCCATCGCCACACCCCAAAAAACCCCAACAAGCACACCAAAAACAAAAGGGTGGCTCCCAATATAGAAAATGAAAAATGAGGGTATTTGGCTTTAACCAATATTTAATTAGAGAGGGTATTTAGTCTAATGGGTTAATCAAATATTATGAGATAGAATGAGTTTAAATGCTTCAAGCGAGTTAATAAAATAAGTGTTCATCCTATTATGGACCGATATTTAACATACATGCACGTATTAGTTCACATTAACACAATTGTTTATAAAATATTTTAATTAAATACAAAATGAATCATAAAAATATTTCAACAGTAAATTCTTTTTTCTTTCATATTCTATCGTTCAAATCTTCATAATTATTTTTTTTTATTTTTCTAATTTTTGGTCCAAACAAGACGGGGTCAAATTAGCAAGTTGACGAGTGACCCTATGATTGGGGACATCGGACAAAGTGTCACTTGGCTCCATATCCATACAATTTCAGGAGCTTGGCCTCTAACAGCAACGACACGGGTTACCAATAATCCAATCCAATGTCGGTGCGGCGCGGTGCCCCTTGCTTTCTTAATTTATTTTGCTTAGGGGGGCCTGTATTATATAGAGTATTAAAGTATATTGATATCCAATTGCCTTACAGTATTCCAATTGTGAAAACCTACAACAAAGTTGTTTATAAGTTTAGTTAATTGTCCCGTGGTAATATATATAGAGTTATTTTATTGTGTCTTTAGTTTCCCAACACCATGGCAAGGCACTCCTAAGTAACACTACTCGTAGTAACTAATGTCATGTTAAATCGGAGATGATGAGTAGGTTTGTATATTATTCTTTAAGAAAGGTTAACACGTCATTTCGACGTATCAGTTCACCTCATCTATTAAAGAGAACTCGACGTCGAGTTTAGTAGAAGCACTCGGATTCATATACTCTTTTTTTATGTCTTTTTTTGTGTCCTTTTAATAATAATATGTCACGTAATGACTTTTTGATTGATGTGTCATAATATTACTAGAGAGATATAAAAAGAGACCGGAATAAAGAGACACAAGATTTGGTTCTCATAACAAGAGATTACATAATATAATAAAAGGTAAATGTAATATCATTTTTACTTGGAGAAACTGTTACATAAAAAATAGGTACACATAATAGCCACGATCGGATGGGAAGGAAAAAAAAGAAAAAGAAAAAAAAGAGTATTTATGTTTAAAGGAAGATTCATATTTGTGCTTTAAATTAGTTTCTAGCATTACTTACCATTCATACCGTCGTATATTCAACTAAATAATAAGAAACGATAACTGCAGAATCATACTTAGAAGTGTCGACTTACTCTAGTTGATTTGAAGCCCCTACGCTTGGAGCCGGATGAAGCTTAACACCCCAAGACAGAACTGGTCTTTTCGACTTCTGTATCATATCATCCAAAAAAATTAATAACCATTAGGTAATTCTAGTCATATAATTATAAAATCAAGAACAAGTATCCTCAACATAAACAAGCAACTGTACGAATGGTCTCTATCAAAATTTCTATTAATGATGAAGACTTTATCAAAAATTAGTTGTGATTGAATATGAATTGTGTTATGGGGGAAAATATGGGGGACACGTGGAGGGAGGACAACATGACACATGGCCTTAATCTCTCCTCGCAAAGCAACAACCCTCGACGTCTGAGACCCCCTTCCCTTCCGTCGTTAAGAGCCCGAGTAAGAAGCCCGACTTGGGGCGTCGATTTCATCTGACGTCGACAGGTCGTACCATCGACCTTACAACATAGAAATCTACCGCCAAGAAGAACAATTGGGCTAAACAACACTGGCGACGAGATGAATGCTCCTTAGGGGAAAGCCTGACGTGGCAAGCTGCATAAGGGATGTCCGCAGTACAGGCATTAAAATGCAAACCCTTAAACCGCCCCTACGGGGGACAGAAAAGGGTTACAGCTGTGCACAGAGCCGTAATGTGAGACTAATTGGCTGAGTGAACAGTGCGCAAGAAGTGATTAGTGGGCTACGGGCTGGGCCTAGAAAGACATACCACTTGAGTGCCTGTTCAGCCTACAGGAGAAAATCCCTCCAACGAAGGAAGCTCGGCTATAAAAGGAGAGAAACCTCATATGGAAAAGAGGTTGATCTTTCTTGAGAAAAGAAAGAACAAGAGAGCAATTTGTAAATTGTAACAATCTCAAAAGGAATAAAAAACTACAGTAGATGTAGCTCTTCATTTTATAAGAGTTAACCACTATAAACCTTGTGCATTTTCCTACTTTAAGTATTTTTTCTTATATTGCTCACTACACAAAAAATACCACAAACACCTTCGGCACAAAACCTTTACATATAATTTCAATTAAAGTCGGTAATCTGACGGGAAATCTGAAGGTAACTCGGCTTGTTTTGTTGACGAAAATTCACCGTCAACAGATTGCGAAGCTAAATAATCAAATTATTAACACTTTCAAATGACTTTATTATTATTTGCATTGTTGTTTTTTCCGATCATATTTTACAGTTCAAGCCCATTCAATAATAAGTTGCTAGACTCGTAATCCTATCTGGCCCCGCTATTCATGCATGTCAAACAAGGCCTTTGATAGGAATCTGTTTCTATCCTCTTCTTATTTGAGTTAACAATTAACACTAGAAACAAGCAACTTCTATTACTAAAATAGGAACCATTCTTCTGAGTTTAAAGCTTTGTATTTTTTTCAACTAATTACAAATTTACGTGTCAATTTTAAAACTTACAGATTATAACACAGTCTCCAACAATCGGATTTTCATTTCCGTTGTTGGGTATGTTTAGTAAGAGAGAGAGATAGAGGAAGAGAGGGAGGTGGAGAGTGAAAATGAATATCTTGTTTGATAAGAAAGAGAAGGAGGAGAGGAGAGATGGAGAGAGAGCTCCATACTCACTATTTTGAATCATTCCATCTAATCTACTTAAAATTACGAAAATGACTTTTTTACCTTTTAAGAATAAGATATATAGTATATTAATTAAACAAAAAATTATCATTTATCATTTTAACTTTCATTATTCATATCAAACAATTTATAGAGCGCGTTTGGAACTAATTTTAAAATAATTTTATTTTTTGTATGAAAATGAAAACGTTTTCAATCTCAGATAAAAAATATTTTTAAAAATGCGTTTAGTAGTTTGATCTAAAAATTATTTTCAGTATAAAAAAACTCATTAATATATATATATATCTCTTTATGTGCTCGAGAGAGGAAAAAATGAAAACAAAAAATAAAAAATGACTAAAAATTATTTTTTATTTATCTCTCATTTTATACTAAATAAAAAAATTATTTTTATTTTTATTTTTTATTTTTATTGTGTCAAATGACGTTTTAGAAACGTTTTCATTTTTTCTTTCTCGAAAAATATAAAAAATAAAACATGATCAATTCTAATTACAACCATAATTTTCTCTATCTCTCACATTTTTCATCACTCCAACCATCTTGTCCCTTTCTCTTTTTTATCTCTTTCCATTCCTTCCTCCTCTCTATCTCCCTAAGCCTAAAAACTCATGTGCTGTGGCTTGTTATATTACGTGTTATTGTTCGGCTTTTCGACTGAAAAAAATTGTACTATTTTTTTGGGTTGGATTGGGTTTGGTTTGCCTTTTGCCTACGGGAACCGCAAACCCCACTCCATCAAGACTTACGACTCCTCCTAACAGCTCCACGTGTCCTCTTATTAAGGTTAGCCCAAATACAACACATGCGTATAATTTTCGTATATAAACATTACATACGATACCCACTACTGCTCAAAAGTAATTAATTACTTTAAAATTTAATTAATTAATTTCATTAAAAAAGGAAAAAAAAAAGAAAAAGAAAAATCAGAAACTGTCAGTTAGTCACAGGCCCTTCGATACGGTCCTCTTTCGGTCCCATTACTGTTTTCTTTTTCGCTTTGCCTCTCTCTCTCTTTCTCTCTCTCGAACCCAAACCCAAACCCAAACCCAAACGGCCAAACCCAAAACACGCGAACTCGGAAAAACAAAAAGAGACCAGACCTGTTTCCTTTCTTCTCTTTCTATTCTCTTCTTCGTGAAATCTCAGCCCTCCGATCTTCGCATTTCTCAAATCTCTGGAAACCCCTCTGAACAATGGTACGAGTTCCACGCCGGAAGAACTCGCCGACCTCGAACTCCGTACCCTGCCAACTCGGATGATGGAACTCACCGATTCAAGCAGCGACGAACTCAGAGACCGCCCTAGACCCCCCGCCCGCTCCGTCCTCGGCATCGATCTCAATGAGATCCCTTCCCCCGCTGAAACCCTCGCCGATTCCTTCGACGTCGTCCGCTCCTTCCACGACAACCCCTCGCCGCCTCCCGGAGGCCCCGCCGGCGTCCCCTCTGCCGCCGGACCCTCGCCCTGCGCCGCCTGCGGCAAGCCCGAGGACCGCGGCTGCGTCGTTGTCTGCGACGCCTGTGAGCGCGGCTTCCATCTCTCCTGCGCGCGAATGTGGGGCTCTCCCGTCGCGATTCACGAGGAGTGGCTCTGCGGCGAGTGCGTTTGCAGCGGGGTCAAGAGCAAGCGCTGGCCCCTCGGGGCGAAGAAGCGCCTCCTCGATATGAACTCCTCGCCGCCTAGTGACCCCGATGGAGACGCCGAGGCGACCGACGACGTGCTCGATTTGAGGTACCAAACACTCTTCCACGTTTGCATTTTGAAGCAGTTGTTAGATTCAGCTTAATTTAGCTTTTAGTAGCTCAAAGTTAAGTATTCTAGTCGAGACAAATTAAAATAGGATAAAACTATCATTTGATTTTGCCTCAGGAAGCCAAATTAGTAGTAATTTTCTTGTTTAGTTTTGATTTGAAGCTGTAGAGTTGGTTAGATTCAAGTAACTGAGTTTATAGTAGCTCAAAGTTTAGTACTTTAGTTGGGACAAAGTTAGATATGTGTGTGTGTGTGTGTGTAAGATTAACGATCAAGTGATTATTCCTTTTGAAGACGAATTACTGAAGTAATGACTATTCTGTTTAGTTTGGATATGCAACTTGCAAGTGTGGGTAGTGGCCTTGCGTTGCCATTGCATGTCGTGTTATTTTTGCACTTTCTTTGGGCTGCTAAATTTCCTTATCGTTATCATCTTTTAATATAACAAGTTTCTTTATTGTGTTCCTACTTTTGCATGGTTGCATTCTCTGTCAAACAATGTTGCATAACTCAATCTGATCTCATGTTTTCAACTAGCGGGCTTGAATTTTGCTGGTTGAGTTTTATTTTTAGTGTAGTTTTAGTAGAAAACTATGTTCTCTCTTCTTATTAATGGATTTTATTTTTAAAGATAGGATTTTTAGTCTTGTGCATCTTTGGTGTGGGATTAGTCGGATGGATTATTCTGCTTATTTATTTTATTTTATTTATATAATAAGGTTATATAAATATATTAGTTTGTTTTAAAAAAAGACGATTATATGTTGTTTTTATTTGGTAATTATTATTATTATTTTTCGGATTGTTTTAACTTTAAATTTCATTAATTTGAATTTTCAGGGAATATGATTCCGTCTTTTCTGCTATCATTTTATTTTAAATTGGAGTTTTACTAGGATAAGGCTCAATACACGATTTTTGCATAGACTGCATAATCTTGTTTCTTTCCCCTTTGCATGCACCAATACCTAGGCTCTAGAACTCTTGTAAGGTTCCACTCATCATGGTGTGGGTCTGTTGCAGAAATCTTGAGTTTAGCCTTCTTTTCCACCCTTTGAGGAAACGAAATACGACAAATTGAAAATAGGGAACGCATGCTATTGTGCCTTACTACATATATTTACTAATTTCTGGAGTTGTTCTTGCATGTAGGGTTTAACTATGCCATATGTGTTCTCAATTTGTCATTCTTGCTTTTTTATTTTTTATTTTTACATTTAACTGGCTATGGACCTAATAATTTCTTGAAATGCTTTTTGATCATTGTAGTTACCCTTTTATATTTATTTTTGGTTTTAGAAAGCACTCTTCGGGTGGTAATTCTTTTGGTGGCAATCCATTTGGTGCCCCAGTGACATATTCAAACTTTTTGTGTGCGGGAAATGGATTTGGCTTTCAAAATGGTTCTGGAGTTCTAACACACTCAGGATTTGAAGATATATTGCATCGTGCACATGCTATTGGCAGAAGCTTTGAGGAAGTAGATTTGAGTTTTCCTCTGGGAAGGTGTAGAAGTAGTAACAATACAGCTATTAGATTGCAATCTCGGAGTCCAAGTGAGATATTTTTGCAGGCTCTTAGAGATTTCGTTTCTGAAAGGCATGGTGAACTGGAAGAAGGTTGGCGTGTAGAATTTAAACAATCTGTGGGCAGTTGTGAATTGTATGCAGTTTATTGTGCTCCTGATGGGAAGACATTTGACTCAGTTTATGAAGTTGCACGCTACCTTGGCTTGATTTCTAAGTACAATTCTAAGGAACCTGAAATAAAAAGTGAGGGTTGTTTTTCTACACTGGAAAGGACACACTTGCCGAGAAAAAGAAAGGCAAGAAGATCTGGAATCACCAACGGATTTTCTGAAAATAAGGAAACTTCAATTGGCTGTTATTTTATGGAGCTTCCATCCAATGGTCTAGGTATGGAGGTCTGTTCTAGTACTTTTGACAACAATGGACAACATACAGAGGCTGCGGCATGTGACAGTAGTCTCTCTGAGTCTGAGAAAAATAAAGTAAGTTATATGTTATTGCTATTGTGATTTCGTGACCATAATATTTTTTTCCTCTTTGATTTATGATAGCTAAGCAATGTGCTGATATTGGTCGTTTAGTGTTGTCTTTCCTTCTGCTATTTTTCCAATGCGTGATTCTGTATGCATTTTACACTTTTATTTCAGGAGCGACTCCCTTTGCAGTTTGAAGATTTTTTCCTCCTTTCTTTGGGTAAAGTCGACACAAGGCCTTCTTATCATGATGTGAACTTTATCTGGCCTATAGGTTTTAAATCCTGCTGGCATGATAGGATTACTGGTTCTCTTTTTATATGTCAAGTATTGGATGGTGGTGATTGTGGACCTGTTTTTAAAGTCAAGAGGTTATCATGCTCTTCTTTGCCGATTCCAAACAGTTCAACTGTCCTCTTTAGAAATCTTGTTGGGCAGTTCTCGAGCCCAATGGATGAAGAAACTGATGAGATGACTTGTGATAATGAAGACACTATCCAGATGATTCTTTCTGATCCTTGTCCACCTATGGAAAATGATGTTTTATCTTGTCTTAAAAGTTGTTCTAGTGGTGGTAGTGACGCTCAAAAATCAAATAAATTGCAGCATGAAGCTTGTTCGATTCATGAAAACACTGAAAATGTTTTATCTTGTGAAATGAATTTGATAGATGATATTGGTGAGTTTTCAGTAGAAGAGAGCTCTTCAGCTTTGGCCTGGAAAATGGTCTCACAAAAAATTATTAATGCTTGTTCTGAAATCCTTAAACGGAAAGGCACATTTAAATTTTTTTGCAAGCATCTGGGAAACGATGGTGGCTTTCCCAACTGTGTTATAGATAATGAATACAGCAAGGGAAACTATTGTTGTTCATTAGACAAATTTTCAAGTTCACCCGATTCTTTTGGCATCCCATCAACAATTCAGGCTGATAAACAGGCGGAGACTTTTTATGATGCACTTGCAAGATGGCTAGATCAAGATAGATTTGGACTAGATGTGGATTTTGTTCAAGAGATTTTAGAACAGCTTCCTGAGATCCAATCCTGTTCAAAATATCAAACACATAGTGAGAGAAGTTCTGATTCTTCATCAATAACCATTGGGAATGGGCTTCTAGTGCTCAAGAAGAGAGGTGGGCCAGAATGCAAGGAAGAAGATATGAATGGTTTATTTAGGAGATCCAAGAAAGCCAAGTTGGTCGAAGGTCAAGTCATGGATGATCATTGTCGTCCTCTTGGGAAGCAGTTGTGCTCGAGGGTTCCCTCTGAACTTGTTGGTGATGTATATCAGGTATGGTCATGTGGCTTACGAGTAGTTTTAAAGTTATGACAATGCTTTCACATTCCAAATTGTTATATAGGATTTGCCATTTACTGCTTTCTCTCATATGTAATCAGGTTTGGGAATCGTTATGGCGTTTTAACGAAATTTTGGGTTTGAAAGAGCCTTTGTCCTTGGAACAACTTGAAGAGGAACTTATTAACCCTTGGGTTGATAACTCAGAACTTCTCGAAAGGTTTGAGAAGGAGATTCGTGGAAGTCAAGCTTTAAATTCCAATAGAACTGATTGTACAGGTGGTAAAACGATATCCTCTAGTTGCGAGTCTGATTTGGCAGTTTCTAGAGACAATCCCCATGCGTTTATTCAAATGACAACGGGAGCAATGAAGGAAGCAGCTCAAACTAAACTTGCATCTATTACGTACAACAGATGTTCTGGTGTGGCTTTGACAAAGGCACACAACTCACTGCTAAGAGTGCTAATAGGCGAGCTGCAGTCCAAGGTTGCTGCACTTGTAGATCCAAATTTTGACTCTGGGGAGTCTAAATCCAAGAGGGGAAGGAGGAAAGACGTTGATAGCTCTGTTTCCATGAAAAGAACTAAGCTCAACATACTCCCCATCAATGAACTTACTTGGCCAGAATTAGCACGGAGATACATCTTGGCTGTGTTGTCCATGGATGGTAATCTCGACTCTGCTGAGATCACTGCCCGTGAAAGTGGTAAGGTGTTTCGTTGTTTGCAAGGTGATGGTGGAGTGCTTTGTGGCTCACTTACTGGAGTGGCCGGGATGGAAGCTGATGCACTGGTAAGATTCACCCTTGTTCCTTTTTTGTTGCTGGTGTTTCAATTTACTCCCTTGGTTCTTGATTTGTGCAATAGAAACTGAAAAAGTTTATGAAATGCGAATTAATGCCCTTTTTCTCTTTCTGCTTTTTGCTTCAGTTGCTTGCAGAGGCTACAAAACAAATTTTTGGTTCAGTGGACAGAGAAAACGATGTTCTTACTTTGGAGGAGGAAGGGTCTGATGTAACTAGTGCTTCTGAAAAGAACTCAGTGAATGATGGTAACATCCCAGAGTGGGCAAAGGTGCTAGAACCTGTTAGAAAGCTTCCCACCAACGTGGGAACTAGAATCAGAAAGTGCGTTTATGAGGCTTTGGAGAAGGATCCACCAGAATGGGCAAGGAAAGTATTGCAGCACTCAATCAGTAAGGAAGTCTATAAAGGAAATGCATCAGGACCAACAAAGGTGCTGTTCTCAGTATCTTTTCTTTTTATACACTACGTGTATATTTTCTTTTTTCGTGCTTTTGGTATTGTTGGTTGATTGGAAGTTTGCACATCTTTTTCTCAGTCGGCTTAGGTTGTTGAGTTGGCTTGACAGTTTGCTAATCATGGTGATTTGTTTTTATATTTTTATACTTGTGTGAAACTTTGGATGTTTAATATTGGTGCTTAACATGGGTTTCTAGTCTTTTTCTCTTTTTTACTGTTTGGATTATCCAGAGGACCAGATCTTTTATTATAATTTTCTCCATTCTTGTTTAAATATGAAGAAGTGTGTACGATTCTGAATTAAATATTCTTTCTTGCTGATTGAACAGAAAGCTGTTCTTTCAGTGCTAGCAGATGTGTGTGGTGGTGAAGGATTGCTGCCAAAACCTGATAAACGGAAGAAAAGGAAGATTGTTATCTCTACGTCCGATGTTATTATGAAACAATGTCGCATTGTTTTACGCAATGCTGCTGCTGCAGATGATTCAAAAGTTTTCTGCAATTTGCTCGGAAGAAAGTTGATAAATTCAAGCGATAATGATGATGAGGGACTTTTGGGTTCCCCAGCAATGGTTTCCAGGCCTTTGGATTTCAGGACTATTGATTTGAGATTAGCTGCTGGGGCCTATGGTGGTTCGCATGAGGCTTTTCTTGAAGATGTTAGGGAGGTCTGTTTATTATTTTCCAAGTGGTTTCATTAGTAAAAGTTTTTATGCTCTTAGTTTTTTTCCCCTCCAATTCATGCTCTGTCTCTTTAATGTTCCGGTAAATCTTTTCTATAAGTACGGTATTGTTATCATGTACTTTGTGTTGCTGTGACCTTGCAGTTATGGAGTATTGTACGCAATGCTTTTGGAGATCAGCCTGATTTGGTTGAGTTGGCTGAGACTTTATCGCAAAACTTTGAGTCCTTGTATGAGAATGAGGTTCATACTTCCTGGTCCCTTTATTTTTCTCTCTCCAGGTCTTGCTATTGTGCTCTTAATTGTTGTCTTAGTGCCTATTTGGTTATTGCAGTGCAGATTTATAATTGGTAACTCGTTGATGAAGGTTCCATGATGTGAAGGGTGTAAAAGGGTCTAATTTGAAATGTAATGACAAAAAATAGGCGTCACGTTTATTTTGGAAATGGGATAGGGTAGGGCTGGGTGCACGGGGGCTGACTGACAAACTAATAGAATAAGAATTTGTTCAGCATCTATCTATCGGCAATCTGTTGTGCTAAATTTCTACAATTCTCATCGTATCCTGTTACTTGTGTTATTTGCGGTACTAATCTACAAATCTGGGTTATGGGAACCAGGATATCACATTCCCCATGGACCTGACACATACCAGTGTTAGTCATGTGTGCATGTATACATAAGGCATCACATAGTGATTTTAAGGGTAGTGTGGTCGAGAACAGCCAAGTTGTTCTTATATTAATCTTCATTGAAGTTTGTGTGCTCTCTTTTCTCCAGACATGCGTGTATATGGAGCTATTCATTATGTATTCCATTCACGAGCTTGTCTTTTATTATTATTATTATTATTATTAGTTCTATTATTATTATTATTATTATTATCGTCATCATCATTATTGTTATTATTATTTCTACAAAACCCTATCATTCTTAGTCTGGTTAAGTTGTTTTTATTGTTTCCAATGCAGGTCATTTCTCTTGTCGGTAAATTTTCAGAGCTTGCGAAGTTACAATGCTTGAATGCAGAAATGAGGAAGGAAATAGATTATTTACTTTCTTCCACAAATGTGATTCCCAAGGCCCCTTGGGATGAGGGAGTCTGTAAAGTATGTGGCATTGATAGAGATGATGACAGCGTTCTGTTGTGTGATACTTGTGATGCTGAGTATCATACTTATTGTTTGAATCCTCCTCTTTTAAGGATTCCAGAAGGAAATTGGTATTGTCCTTCTTGTGTTGTTGGCAGACGCACGGTTCAAGATGTGCCAGAAAATGTTCAGGTGATTAGGCAACGCTCAGGTAAAAAATATCAGGGAGAAGTTACTCGTGTTTACTTGGAAGCACTTGCGCATTTAGCAACAAAAATGGAAGAAAAAGAGTATTGGGAATTCTCTGTGGATGAGGTTTGTCTATGGACCCCTATATACTTATTCTTTTCATGGTAATGGTGGTTATTTCAACATTGAGCTGGTATTCATTGCATGTAACAACACTCATCTTGCCATATAAACAATATTAATTAGCTGTGAATAAAAACTAGATTAGACAGTGTTAGGATCCTGGTTGAGTCCCACATTGCTAAAGTATGGGCTTAGCATATGGGTTTATAACCACTTGGGCACCCTCTCCCTACAAGCTAGCTTTTGGGGATGAGTTCTACCCAAGGGTTATAACAATTGGTATCAGAGCATGCTCCTCCTCAGGCCCACGTTGCGGAAGGGGCGACCTGGGGAGGGGCGACTTGGAAAGGCCAGAGTGGGCCATCCAGAGTGGGCCGCCGTAGACGTCGGTGTCGGAAGCGTGGTGGTATGTTAGGATCCTAGTTGAGTCCTATATTGCTAAAGTATGGGCTTAACATATGGGTTTATAACCACTTGGGCACCCTCTCCTTACAAGCTAGCTTTTGGGGATGAGTTCTACCTAAGGGTTATAATAGATAGTCTCAACGTTAAGCTGGTTTTACATGGGGAAGCACTGGTATTTGACGTCAGCACTGATAAGTATAGTACGAAAAGAGAACTTCATTGAAAAGAACTAAGCTTAATTAATTAACCTTGGACAGTCTCAACATTAAGCTGGCTTCACAAGAACAATTACCATATTCCCTTTTCACAACGTCCTCTTTTGGCACTTTTGGTACCTGAAACATTTACATGGAGAAACATTCTCAAATGCGTGTCATTTATATATTATAATCTCTTTTTGTGGTTTAGGAAAAAACTTTTGTGCTGACATGATTGAACTAATATGTGCAAATCACATACATCGGATGACGGAATAAGTCTGCTAGTCTTTAATGAACTTATTGTTGCCTTGTTCATTGTCTTTTATGAATTTATTGCTTCACTTATCATCTATCTCAATGTTGTATTATGTTAACGATTGTGTTTTTTATTTTTTATTTTTTTTTTGGGTGCAGAGGAGCTTCCTCATGAAGTTTTTATGTGATGAATTGCTTAACTCAGCCATCATACGTCAACACCTTGAGCAGTGTGCTGATACTTCGACAGAGTTACAGCAGAAATTACGTGCCCTTTTTGTAGAATGGAAAATTCTCAAGTCCAGAGAAGAAATCTTAGTTGCTAGAGCTGCAAAGCATGACCCGAATATACTCAATTCACTTGGAGCAGTTGGAATAAGGGAATCATTGTTTTCAAACCATAACAAAGGTCAAACACCAGCTTTGAGCGATAGGTCTAACTGCTGTGGCATGTCAACAGATGATCTATCAACACTTGGGGGTGGTCGAGAAGCAATTGAGCCAAGTGGTCTTGATAGAAGCTCATCCGCCACTGATTCTCAGTCTAATTGTCAAAATCCTTTAGATACTGAAGATCAGTTAAAAGATGCCCATGCTTCTGTTGAGGAGAGCAATACAGTGCTAAATGAAGCTGACGCATCTTGCGGAGCAATCTGTTCCACAGGTAACCCGCATGAATCTGTGGGAAAGGATAGTTCTTCTACCCTTAAACCTGTAGGTCAGCATGGACATTCTAACGCTTCTGATGTGAGGAGCACCATAGGTCAAAGTGTTCCTGCCGCTACTGTAAACGAGTTACAAGGCCACCATGTTGAGTTGAAATCTGTTAAGAATGACATTACAATCCTGGAAGAGTCAATTACTAGTGTAGAATCAGAGCTCTTGAAGGTATCTGTTCGGAGGGAGTTTTTGGGTAGTGATTTTGTGGGTTGCTTGTACTGGGTTTCCGGCACGCCAACTGGGTCTTCTTGTATCATTGTTGACCGAAGTGCAGCATTGCGGAGTGGGAAAAAGATGAACAATTTCCAAAGACCAGTCGGGAAGAGTTCAGTTTTGCAATGTTCTATCCAATCTGTTCCAATTCAGTGTGAACGAAATAGTGTTGTTGCTTCTGATTCACCTTGGGTGTCTTATCAAACTGATGGAGATATCGATCAACTTGTTAGTTGTCTAAAGACCAATGATACAAAGGAAAGAGAGCTGAAAGAATCTATTTTGCACTGGCAGAAGCTGAGGTTCCAAGAGTTTCAGAAAAATAAAATCAGAGGTCAGGCCGAGTGTGCAGCTTTCGCAGCATCCATTAGTGGTGAAAAAGCCACATTTTCTGATGGTCTTGTAACCAGGGCTGCCAATTTGCTGGAGAAGAGATATGGTCCATGTAATCAGTTGGAAACCACTGACATCTTAAAAAAGAGGGGGAAAAAGGCTAGATTAACTGATGACAATAAGATGTACCGTTGCGAATGCTTAGAACTCATTTGGCCTTGTAGACACCATTGCCTCTCTTGCCACAGAACCTTTTTCAATGATATTGAACTTGAAGGGCATAATGAAGGTAAATGCAATTCAGTTGCACTGGCCCAGGAGAAGCGCAAAGAAATAAGTGATTCTTCAAAAGCTAAAGACAGTCTGAAATCCGATGCTAATCGTGAAGACTCTACAGGAGAAATGAGCCGGGTTGAAATTCCAAAAACTGGTTTTTCTGAGCTTAGTGCTAAGTTGATTAAGTTTCAGGATGAAGGGTTGTCATGCCCATATGACTTTGAGGAGATCTGTTCCAAGTTCGTGACAAAAGATTCGTGCAAGGATCTGGTACAGGAAATAGGTCTTATTGGTTCAAAGGGTGTTCCGTCATTTGTCTCATCAATGTCTCCTTGTCTTGATGATTCCACACTAGCTCTAATTTCTCCTCAGAAAGATGTGGGTGCACAAGGTGGTGGCTCTGAGGCTGCTGAAAGGCCTGTTTCCCTAGGAACTGGTACTATAACTATTGCTGGTTGGGACATTCTATCTGATAGATCTCCAAAAAGATCTGCTATGAAAGAAATTAATGCGGTAAAATCCCAAAGACTGACATTGGGGTATATAGAACAAAGAGAAGGGATACGCTGTTCGGGTAGTCATTCATCAGAAATGGGGGCTACTCGCTGCTGTGTGGTTCCGCAGTTTTCTTTGAGGCCGTTGGTGGGTAAAGTTTCTCAGATTTATAGGAGACTCAAAATCAATCTTCTCGATATGGATGCTGCGCTACCTGAAGAAGCTTTAAGACCATCAAAATCGCATTTGGGAAGGAGATGGGCATGGCGTGCATTTGTTAAATCTGCAACAACAATATATGAGGTTCATCTCATTCCTTTTATTGTGTATCTAAATTTTTTGGGGTTTTCTAAAACTTCTGCGAGATTCTTACTTTGGCTTTGTCTCTGCTCGTGAACTTCTCCTGATATGAAAATTTCCTCTCGTGTTCATCTCTTTAATGCCTTTTCTTTTTCGTGTTTAACATTATTTCACCTGGAAGCTGAAAATTAGGATTTTGATGGACATGTATTTGTTTGCTTGTACGCTTTCAAATTTTTGTCATAATATGCTCAAAAAATTATGCCTTGAATAGGACTTATTTTCTATTTTTCAATGTTAATGCTTTCCCCTTCACTTGTGGATCTGATAAAATTGCAACTTTTACGTATTGTTCTCAGATGGTTCAAGCGACAATTGTATTGGAAGACATGATTAAGACAGAGTACCTAAAGAATGAATGGTGGTATTGGTCATCATTTTCTGCCGCTGCAAGAACTTCAACCATGTCTTCCCTTGCCCTGCGAATATACTCCCTTGATGCCGCCATAATCTATGAGAAGATCTCGTCCGAGTCAGATCCAACAGATAAATCGGAGCCCAGTAACCTATCTGAACAGAAGCCAGTACCCGTTATCGATCTGACGGAAAAAACCAAGATAACCAGGAGATCTAACAAGAAGAGGAAGGAACCAGAGGGTTGATTCTTGAATTCAAAGCCAATGGAGTTTATCCGAGTGGCCACATGCAGTGGTTGGCGTGTGCAATGGAAATGGAAGATAATCATTGATTCCCATGTTGAAATTATTGGTTGAAAATGGACGACTGGGACAAGTTGGATTGTTTAGGGTCACTGCTGCTGCTACTAATGCTGCTGAATCATGTACGTGTACATAGAGGTAAAGCTGACATCTAACTTGGAGGCTGGATTTGGAAGCAGAGATTATATTTTTTTTTTCTGCTTGAAGGGGTTGGAGCGCCGGGACCGATTTGCTGTATTACATATGCAGATGCATCCAATTTTGGACTGATTTCTGCCTTTCATAATTGTTTGATTAGAAAGCAAGATGCAATGGAAATTGATATAAGCGAGATCCATATGCATATACGGAGTAATGTAAAATGGAAAAAAAAAAAAAAAAAAGGAAATAGTATCGAAGCTGATCAGGGTTAGGCAATATTTCATTCTTTACACATCTCACTCTTCCTCTAGATCATGCCGTTCCGACCTCTCTGAGATACATGTAATAGGCATGCAAAGATGTTTTAGAACTGAATCATGCCGCTCTTTATCTCTTACCCTTGATTGGATTCTAAAGTGGCTTTTGTCTAGTGTTGTCATTGCTTTGAAAATCTGACACAAGTTAGTTAAAGACTTAGCCTAGAACATAGGTCAATCTTTCTAGGACCGAGGAATTATGTTCTTGAAGTAGTTAGATTCTCCCGTGTAACAATAGTAAACAGGTCTTCATGGTTATAGGTCTCTCTTAACATAATCTGCCAGTTTTGTGCTCAAGTTGCATACTGTTAACGAATTGAATTGCATACCTTTTGCATCATATATTATCGGTGCCTTTTCATTAAAATTTCCTCTTTGAATTAATAGGGACTAATCGGTTTCAGATTGTGAATAGTCCCCCGTAATCTCAATACTTTCTTAATGGTAGTGACTAGCTTTTGAGATACGGTTATTCTCATGAAATGCTACGTGCCAGTTCTCAATTGGGCCCTACACAAAAGTCTATTTGATGCTAAAATCGTAGTCTCCTGAAACCACTTTTATTGGGCAATTATATTTGTATAAAGCAGGGAATGCGTTTTCAATAGAAGTATGCCACTGGAACATAGGACAGGACAAAGAGGCGATAAAGAAGTGGGGCAGAGTGCGAAGGACAAATTCTAATGGGGTTTTAATAGCAGGTTGGAACTTGGAAGTGGGTTCCTGACGTGGGGTCACAACCAAGCACATGAAGTGTTTTCTCCGAGTGGCATTGTGGGCCCACCTCGCCTATTACTTCCATTTTGGCTTCCAAAGCTGGTGGGCACCCATAGTTTTCTCACTAGCTACAACAGTTTTCTCACTATGTTAATCCAGCATATTAGGCATGCACTCTTGTTTTGTGCTTTTGTCTTGCCCCTATCTACTTTTCATAGGTGCCCGTTGAGTAGAGCTAAGAATCACATTGGAAGTGTGGCCAAAAAAAAAAAAAAAAAAAAAGAATCACATTGGTGGATCTAAGCTAATCTATCATTTTCCATAGTTCCCAACTTTGGATCTACTCGAAAATAGATGTTTAGCTGCTTTGAGGTTCGGTATCTCAAATGTCAGATTAGTGTATGCTCAATTGGGTATTTTTTTTTTTTTGGGTGAAAAATTCATTGAATCGGTAAACAAAGAATTAAAAAAAGAAAAAGAGTTGCTTAACCTTTCTGAGAAAATGCCATAGGTTTGTTAACGAAAAAAATGTTGTTTATCCCATCATTTTCTCCGAGCTATTATTTATTCTAGAGGAAATTCGTGTCTTTTTTTGGTCTCTCAAAGACCTAGTCTTCTGTCCAACCATGCATAGCGAATAGGAACTTGAGAAGAAGTCAATTGTTTGCGGGAGAATTTTGAAAATGGTATTCTCATCCCATGTTGTGAAACTCTTATTGGTGGTGTTATCCACATCCACTGCCGCACACAAAACACAAGGGGAATAACTTGTTTTCTGTCTTGGATAGTAAAGTCTTTTAAGCTGTTTCGATCCATCAATTTTTCAAAAGCTTTTTCAGACAGTTGCTGGATTCTACAACTTGATGTGTATAAGATATGCCATTCCTTATCAAGCCACATTGCTCTTCAGCAGTCAACTTCCGCACACATGTTTTTGTTTTCCCTTCTATTGCATCCTCTCGCATCAATTTTCAGCCGTCCATATTTTACTTCCAACTCATTTTCATAAGCTTTAGAGAAGAAATTTTAATTATAAGGATAATAAGGACAATTCAAAGTAGCATAGGTTAAGACATAATATTTTCTTTTTCCATGTACAAACACCCATTTGCAAGAACCATTCAAAATTTGCTCTCAGTATTTCCCACATTATTTTAATCAAAGGGAATATAGTGACCTCCATGTAAGGTGCACTTACATAATTTCTTTTCCTTTTTTTATTTTTTTTATTTTTATTTCCTTCTTAACCAACAACCTGCCGACACTTAGGCTCCGAGTTTAGAATTCGAGTTTTGTTACAGTAAAAAGCTCTAAAAAACAGTCACATTTAACTTTTTAGCTACAGTAAAAAACTCTCACATAAAGTCATATCTCAACTCGAATCAGCGAACTAAACGGACCCTTAATATATCAAGAAAAATAAATAACAAAAAATGAAAGAATTGTGGGAGTCATATATATAGTAGAAATTAAAAAAGAAAAAACAACCGTTGACCGAAACACAATTATTATTTTATTAATTTATTCATTATCCATAGATCCATCTTTGGAGATCTCAGCAATTACAAGGGACTGTATTACATCTTAATTTCTGTCCATTATGTGATTGCGAAATAAAACTTCTTGCATGTTCCTGAAGCAACTACCTATTAACGGATCAACAGTGACATATCATAACATGTTACAATGAGACATAAACACACCCAACCATATTATGTAGAGTAGTACACATATTATAGTGTTACTAGTGACAACAATCTCAACAACACTTCTTAAGACCAAACCCACCAACACTCCAAATTCTCGCCCTCCTGCTGCTGCTCGGCGGCTGCGAACACATCCGGGAAGTAGCTCCGACCGTCATCGCTGCCGTCGTCTTCTTCCGAATGCACGCCGTCCACCGTGCCCATGCAACCGGGGTACTGGACACTCTGAAAGTAGGAGTCACCGCTGTCCACAAGCTGCGGACCTTCCTCGTCCACCACCGCGCTTCCACCACTACCTGTGCTCAGCCGGTCCTCAGCCTTCACGCCGAACTGGAGTCCCATAATTTCAGTCATGTCTCCGGCAAGAGATTCTGACTTCTGTGCCGGAGGCGGCGCTCCGGCGCCTTCCTCCTTAGCCTGAAGTTTCTCCGTCAAAGAAGCAACCTGTAACGGTGTAAATAATTTATGCGCAATACTAGTCATCACCATCATGATATATAAGTGATCCTAGACTTACTTCGTATTTATTTTTCTATTAATATTAAAAATCTCGACTTTTAAATGTCATGTGTCACGGATGTCAACTTATAATTATACTAATAATCGTATCTATTAATGAGAGAGTGATATTCAACGATGTAATTAATTTATGAGTAATATTTTTCATCAGCGTCATGATATATAAAATATTAGACTAATTGATCCTAGATTTTCAGTGCTACTTGCTAATTATTATTAATCTAAACAATATTAAGAATCTCTACTTTTTAGTATCTACTGATCTGATATGTATGTTACCTCTTGTTAACTATATTAAAAATTGTATTTACTAGCGAAAAAGTTACAACTTACTGTTACCTGAGTTGGTAAAAAAGAAAAAGGATAAAAATTGATATTACAGCTCTTTTCAATTACATATATAGATATAGATATGTGTATTGATCATCATGTAACAAGACACTTGCATGGGATATATATATATATATATATATATATAAGCTATGAAAGAGAAAGCAAGGTGTGGTTGGTGAAGTTACAGAAGTACCCATTTGTGAATTTTATTTATTTTTATTTTTTTTTTAAAGAGAGAGGGAATATTGCGAGAAAGCTACCAAAGGTATATTCGCAATGAGACCTTTTAAAACTTGAAAGTAAATCTTTTTAAAACCAAGGTGGGGTTAAGAACAGATGCTGAATTTGACCTCAAAATAAGATCATACACATGTCTCTTTGCTTGTAAGGTAGAACTCTATAAAAATAAGGACCACACGCAACTTCCAATCAGCTGCTTAGACCAAGTGTCCACTAGAGTATGATGTAAAGTTTTGAAAACGACACCAAGTTATTATCTAAAGCTTAGAATTTTGTAGCGACAGAAGCGTCAGCAATCAATTTATCTAACGTCTGAATGATTTTCTAAAAACATTTCGACTGTTTTCACATACATATTTTACACAATCAAAGTACTGATCATATAAGTCTATTACCTACACATAAAATACTTTAAGAAGTGTGCACGCCTGAAGAAAAAGTCGCATTCAATCATTTTAAAAATGAAAAGAGAACATACAAAATTTGTAGATTTTCTTAGTGCTCACGTAATATGATTGGTAATATGGTATATTGATATAAATTGTGTGGGGCACAATTTGTACTAGTAAACAAATATATACCTCAGCTTTGAGCTTCTCATTCTCCTTGTGAATTGAGTCAAAATTTGCCAAAAGGGAGTCATAAGTAGATTTGAGAAGATCATAATCCCTTTCGAGCTGCTTCGTCTTCCACCGAGCACGGCGGTTTTGGAACCACACAGCCACCTGTCTAGACTGCAGCCCCAGCTTCTTGGCCAGCTGGGTTTTTCTCTCCGGCTCCAGTTTGTTCTCTGCCTCAAAGCTCTTCTCCAGCAAATGAACCTATAAGTACAATATTGCACATATACAAGTTATATATATATATACAAAAGAATTGAACACTAACAACGCAGAAACCAAATGATCATCTTCATAATTTGATTGAACTAAAATTACCAATATACAGGAGAGGTAACTTTTGTTATGTATGCTAAATGGTATTTGTGGAGCTAATTAACTACCAAGGGAATCCAACGAAATAAAAAAAAAAAAAGACAACAAATATTCAAATGATATTGCTAGCTATATGTTGTCCACTCATCTCCTAATAAAAGGCCAAAATATTTTGACAAAAAGGTTTCTATTATAAGTTGTTCTTTTTCCAACATATCTTCATGACAGATGAAAACTGAGCAATGATCGGCTCCAAATAGATAGAATATTAAACAACTCAACAACATGATAAAAAGAAGATTAACAAATTTGTATAAATTATTCTTATTCTGATGTTTTTTCACTTTTTATGACTACTAGTATTCAATGTATGGATTGCTTCGATTTTATAAGATGCCCATGACAAGGGCTAAGAATAAAGGAGATCATGAAAATATTGAATATGCTAGGTCATGTCAGTTATCATCAAGGAATATTTGATCATGTAAATATCTATTTATATACTTTGTTTACCAAGACATGAGGGACGTGGAATATATATATGATGAAGGTGATGGAGCAAGAATATACTTGTGCAATTGATCAAGTATATTTATGCGTGCAGTAATTTATTTGGTGGGGGTAATTAAGGTGATTAATTAGTAATTAATTACTCTAACCTGTTCGGGAGTGAGGCGGCGCTTCTTCTCCGGCAACTGCTCGTCGTAATATTCCTCATCGTAGAGATCCTCCGGCGAGCTGAAGAAAGGCCTTCTTTTCGAGCTCTCCTCCATGCTCATGATTGACGATCTTGGCCCTTCAATTAACAACCCCAACTTCCAAACTAATTAAATGTATATCAAGGCTAAAACATCATAATAATCCAAGAAACAAACATCAAACAAATCAAAAGATGCATAATCCATGAGATTAAGTACATGTAAGATAGTAAAGATCATAGATCGCAGCAAAAATAAAAAGATAGTAAGGATATATATAGATGAAATATGAAATCTAAATGCTTGATGAAACGTATCAAAAATCAAGAAAGTAAACACCTTCAACTTAGTGTAAGAAAATAAATAAAATAATCTTCGAATTTATACCGTCGCGAAATTCCATGGCAAAAAAAAAAAAAAAAATCTATACATATGGTTGAAATTTCACTGGATTCTTATTTACTTTCAGTTTATTTTTGATATAATTGAGAGAGAAAATATTTACAAAAACAAACATGGAAATTCTATGGCTAGGATTTGGTATTGCATGTTTTTCACATGTCAGATCACACATGAGTTGTTTGAAAACTATACTCAAAGGTAAATCATGATTCTGCTATAATTTTTTTACCCATAAAGATTTTAAATTCTAAAATTTCATCTCTCACAAAATTTTCATTAAGAAACTCAAATCATGATTTGAGTATACTTTCTAAACGGACACATAATAATTATTTAAAACAAAAAATTTAACAATTAGAACAACAAATCTAACCAATAAAAATATAACCGATAAGAACTATTATTTTTCACTATCACTAGGCAGTAATACTATTGTTATCAATTAAATTTTTAACTATCTGAATTGTGAATAAGAGCGATTATATACTTCCGCTAATGATTCATAAATTACACGGTTGAAACAGTTTAAACAATGTTCATATCCAAAATAAAAAACATTTCCTAGTTGAAATTTCTCTAAAAAAAAAAATACTAACATTAAAAAAAAAAAATACAGCGAAGAGTACCTCGAAAAACGGAATCACCATTTCCAAGGAACAACATGTTACCACCATGGCAGGCGGACGTGGGGTCAAAGAAAAGACGGCCGGATTCCATCCTGATCACTACTTTCTCTCTCCTTAGCTTATCTTTTTTTTCTCTCTCTTTGTCTGTGTATTCTGTGTGAGATCTCCGGCGACCTTTGCCGTCGATAGTCACAGAAGAAGAGTCCTACGTGGGTGTCTTAGTAAGTGGAAGATTAATTTGACGCTTTATTCTTTTTTAATGGGGGTGTGGAAAGTTTGTATTAGAAGATCATGAGCTTGTGACGGAAAAAACTTGTGCTCCACAGCAACCTCGCCGGCGTCTCCAACGGGCATATACAAAATCCCATCATACCACGACCGCTTCTACCCAGCTCCGTCACCGGATTCCGGCGACTTTCACTTTCACCGGAGACCAAAAAGGAAAAAGCTTAATAAGAAAAACTAGTTGGGCTAGGTTATAAAGCAGACATCCTCCATGGAAGTGAAAGAAGAATATGTTACGTGGAGGTTAGAGAGAGAAAGTGGTGTATGTATATGTGGGTTGGTTGTGTCGCCGGAGAGAGAAAGTCTCCGGGTAATTTAGGTGAACAGAGAGATTTGGACGGCTTCTAAAATAAGGTGTTTTTTGCAGCTAAAGTTGAACGAGGTGAGTCCAGCGTATTTTGTAGGGCTTTGGTGATGGGAAATGACTTCTATACCCTTTATGGTTGTGTTTCTTTTGACTTTTGTGGGGGGTGATCCTGGTCAATTCAGTTGCCTAGTAGTGTGACGCAGACTGGCTTCGCTTTTTTTATTTTTTTTATTTTTTATTTTCAACAAAAAAGAGGGTGTATATATTTTTTAGGCGTAAAAAAGTATATTTTATTCCCCAATAAAGTTATATATAAATTTTTTTTAGATGAAGAGTGCTATTCTTAATAAGGTAGTAGTGCTACTTTTATGTGTTTTTTGGACCTTTTCTAATAGTGTATTACATGTATGCAGTTAACTTTATATATATATATATATATATATAAAGATCAATATTTAAAGCTTCAAAATCATGTATCAATGGCTATAGCGACATCACAATTTATATTAAGCTGATTCATATGTAGATAAGAAATTCTATGCATCATCTTAGTGATTATTCTAAGTATTAGCATATACATTTTGGATTAATTAGAATTTCATTCTTCAATTTTGAAACCAAGGATTATGGCAAAAAGATTCTAATAGTCCCCTGTCAATTTTGTTTAAAAAATCATTGGTAGTGATCATTATTTTTTTTTCTTAATGATGAGTTGTGATGTCAAATATTACTGATTTTTAATGAGCTTTAAATAATGTACACCAATTAGGACATAATATAGTAATCAATTTAGTGTAGGTTTTTTTCCTTTTTTTTTTTTTTTTTTTTTTTTTTGGCGTACATCTTATCTTAATTTTAATGAGTTGGCTCGAGATTCAAATATGGATACCGAATTTTAGGATATGTTTAGTATATAAATTTTTTATGAGTTTAAATTTATGATTTTGATTCTTCTACAACTTTTTTCTTTTATAAAAAATTTGATTTTCAAAAGTCATATTAAAACTAATGGTTATAACTCATATAAATTCATATACCAAACGAACCCACTTATGCTGCAGGGGACTGGCAAGCACACGTAGACGGATCAAGGCCGTTGAATTTTGGATGTAGATCAGAAACTATATATAGAGAGAGAATAAAAAAAATGATGCATCTTAATTAGTGCCAGAGCGTTAAACAAGTCCCATGCTTGCTGGTCGGGGTATTGTCAGATCCAATTTATCAACATTACTCCTATTTTTATTTTTTAAATTTTCTGAATCAACTGTCCTGATTCCTTCCCCCTTATTATCATAAATTTCAACCATATAGATAGGAAGAAATTATTAATCTAATACCTAAAAAAAAAAAAAAAGAATTGACCAAGCAAGTATAACACATGCATTTATTTGAAATCTACAAGAAGTACTAGTTTATAGACTATATATAAATCATTTATTGCAATGTGTAAGCTCAACCTCCTACATGTAGTAGTCTTGAGCTAATAATAAAATCAGCTCATGTTATTCAGCACCTATCAACTAGTGTTGTCACATAACAAAATGTAAAACACTAAAAACTTGAAAGATATATATGTGTGTGTATATATACATATATTATTAACAATATTTAGCAGTGTTACGTGAGAAAATGTAAAACTAAACAAATTTCCTTGTTAGTCCTAAAACAATTACACATTATATGTGTGATACTTCTAGTTTGTGCTTCTGAGAGCATATTTTATAATTTTTCAACTCATTTAGTTTGTTGATTTGAGTTTTAATTCGAGTTGAGATGTGACTTTATATGAGAGCTTTTTACTGTAGTAAAAAAGTTAAATGTGACTGTTTCTGAGAGCTTTTTACTGTAGTAAAACTCGAATCGGTAAAATTAACGAGATCTTTCTTTTAATATTGGGACGAGCTATATATCTTGGACTATTCATGGAGGTACATTGCTTAGAATGTAGATATAGATATAATTAATGGTAATTGCTTCATTTTTACTTTCTCTTGTAATGAATGTAGAATATTTCATCATCCAGTTATGATATGACTTGTGATCCCAAATAGATATAGATATTGCAGCCACTACAACAAAAAAAGTCATTTACGACGACATTTTTTGCGACGACAAATGTCGTCGCAAGTAATAAAATATTTACGACGACATGTCGTCGCAGTTACTCCCCGTTTAAAAAAATAACCATGTCGTCGTTAATAACCTAAATATCGTCGCTAATAACTCAAATGTCGTCGCAAATAATTTTGGGGCGCAAATTTTAATGGCGCGGAATTTTGCCGCCAAGGTAATCCATTTTTTGCGACGACATTTTTCCTTTATTTGCGACGACAAAGTCGTCGCAAATAATTTCATATTATTTGCGACGACTTTATCTCTTTGTCGTCACAAATAATCTTTTCAAGATTTCACCAAAAAACTAAACGCGGAAAAAATGATTATTTGCGACGACATTTTCCATTTATTTGCGACGATAAAGTCGTCGTAAATAATTTCATATTATTTACGACGACATTTTCTCTTTGTCGTCGCAAATAATCTTTTCAAGATTTCACCAAAACCAAGCGCGGGAATTAATGATTATTTGCGACAACATTTTCAAACTTATTTGCGACGACAATGTCGTCGCAAATAAGTCTGATCTAATATACCCTATCTTCTTCCTCTTCATTTTCTCCCGCCACTTTCTATCTCTCTCCTATTAAGTCTCTCTCCCTCTGCCTCTTCTTCCCCTCGCCGCCACCGGCCCTCTTTTCTCTCTCTTCCCTTCTCTCTCTCTCTCTCTTCCCTTCTTCTCTCTCTCTCTCTTCCCTTCACTCTCTTTTCTTCCCCTCTCCGGCCGCCCCCGCCCCGC